CCTGTTAACTCTAAGAGCTGGCTCTGAGGAAGCTGGATCAGAGGACTTACCATGTATAGATAAACAGTGACTTGGTGATGGGATACTGGCCTCTGTGGAATTATTTCACCTACCACTGTCATTCCACCTTCATTTAGATGATCGATGTCAGGTCACCAATCCATATTGATGCAGGTCAGGCCAAGGTAGCGGAGTCCAAAACTAAGCCTCAAGACCAACCTAGAATTCCATCTGCATTCTCCCCGCTAGATACAAGTGCAGAGACGACACAGAAGATAAACAGTGATAGATGAAAGGAGGGAGGGGGTGGGGCTTTCTCAGCTGGTGGGGTTATTACCTCTAGAAACATTACTCTAAACTCAACCTAATCCAGGAACAGAGTGTGCAGACTTCATATTATGAAAGAGCTGCTAATGTAAGTCTAGTGCCTCTTGTGGGCAGACGTGCCATCTCAGGGTAGGGTGAGAACAATAGTACCATTACTGTGAGGGTTACAGTCACCTTTGACCTTTTCAAGCTGGAACAGGCAACATTTCTAACATCTCCTGATTCACTGGCCAATTCTGCAAAAGAGAAGTGTTGATGCTAGGAGGCATGAATCAATTTTTTTACATTCTGAGCAAGAAGATGCAGATGAAGGATGCATTGCATGCCTTTGCCAGGATATTACGGTGCAATGAGCCAGGTCATGCAAATTCATCCTGATTGCTGTGACAATGTCATGATATTAAGACATGTGTTTTGTCCTGGTTTCTTTTAGACAGAGATTGGGGGATATGTGCCAAGCAGTCTACGAGAAGATAAACAATTTATGAGGCCTGGTTTTTTTTTTAAAGTCGGAAGAATAGAAGCAGCCTGAGTGGGTGCGGTCAAGCTCTCACAGATCAAGGATTTTTAGTTAGCTTTCAGCAGAAGCTGCTGGAGGTTTGAAGTAGAAACTATTTTCCCCCCTCTCTTGGCTACAGCTAGAAGCTGGGGTTTCTCTTCCTACTTTGGGTGTTGCATGTGAGAAAATCTGATTTCTGAAGTTGCCTTTTTGTCAATGGGTGTGTTACTATTTTGGAACAGTTAATTAGTAATAGTTACTGTATCTATTATTCTGTTAAGTTTTCCAATAGTTAGGTTAGTCCAAGTTCATCTTTCTTTTGTTGTATTTTAACTACAGTGTTTGAATGAATTGTGTTTTGCTTAGCATCAATTAGTTTCACCAGTCGAATTGCATCTGCAATTTACCCTTTTACCTTATACCTTTGAAACAAGAACAAGTCATGGTCTAGGCTACCTTCTTAATATATTTGGAGGAAGTCTGGTCTGGTCCATAACATTGTGGAGCTTCATTGCAAAGGAACAAACACTGTATGACATACCAAATATGCATGAAAAAGCTGAGGAGGAAAACTGACATGATGATTGTGTGGTGATGCTCAGTGATAACACATAGCAGACAACAACCAAGCTGCCAACCAAGAACAACTGAGCACAGCAAATACTTCTGCAGATGGGTATCCAATCCCCACAGAAGGAGAAGTTGACAGACATCCAGATTATTTCATTGAAGCTTGGATTGTTAATCTTGTAAACTTTCCTTGTACCTGTTTGCATAAAGCTTGAATTGTTAACATGTATCTATATATATCCATGTATATATGTTTGTCATTTTTTTTGGAAAAGGGGAGTTGTGTTATGAGTAGTGTTAGTATGCAGTATACATTTAAACGACATGCTCATGGTATGTTCACTGTATTATGGTATGTGACCTGATTGGAATAAAGCTCTCACACACCATTGTGATAGAGGCTACTTGAAGTGTGACATACTGATGAAAACATGCTACTGGTTGTGACTAAATCATTTAGTATTAGCCCAGACACTGACGTGACCATGACTAATATATATATGTCAAAAACTGTAATAAATGCCTTTTAAATCTCTCAGTGCCACATTACCCACATCTAGTACTTAGGTTATGGAACCTAGCATAAACATTGGTGTATCAGGTACGAACACCCTCATGGAGGCAAAGCTGACACCTTGTGACAGATCAACCCTCAATCGTATGAGCATGGTACAATGATGTGAAAGTAAGATTTCTTATATATTGTATGTACATAAAAATTCAGAAGGCAATAGGTTGAAAGTTCCCCCTACAATACACAATCAGCCATATAGAGTGAGTTTTCCTTTTCCATTTTGTTCCTCTGACTTCTAGTATATATACTAGTTATGCAAGCCTTAGCCTGGACAGTAACTATGAATAAGATATTTTAACATGTGCCTGCTGCAGCAAAGCACAATTGCACTCTATTGAGCTAAAATACAATTAGAAACTGGAATTTAGTAATCATTGTCACTGGATTATAACCCTGGAATTCCCTACCTAACATAATTGCGGGACAACCATGACCAAAAGGACTGCAGCAGCTCAAGAAGGCTCAACACTCTCCTGGGAAATAGAAATGAGCAATAAAAAAGGACTTATCAGCATCTGCCGTATCCTGAGAATAAATATATAAAACAATCCATAAGTTTGCACCACTGACATCAATTGTTGTATTCTTATCATGCCTGACCTAGGTTAAGCTCACACTACACAAGACATAAATTAAATATGGCCAAATACTGCATTACACAAAAAAAAATTCACTGAGCTTTTGGGAAAGCCTGATAACTATCATTTCAGCCTTATTAAACAGGTCTAGCTAACAAATAGCTATCTAGATTTTAGTAACATATCCACAAAAGCCTTCTTAAAAGCACAACTTATTACCAACATCTTATCATGTTGGTGTTTTGTGACTTTTTTGTAGATAGCCAGTATTAAAAACACATTGGCAGGAACTACATCCACATAACCATTTAGTGTGGCTTTCAATTGGAAGAGCAGAATTGATGAATTTACTCTGTAACATCTACTGTTCTACAGATGTACAGAAATACTTGCCTAGCGGTATTATCGCCAGACTGTTAATCCTGAGACTCAGATAATGTTCTGGGGACCCGGGTTCAAATCCTGCCACAGCAGATGGTGGAATTTAAATTAAATAAAATATCTGGAATTAAGAATCTAACGATGACTGTGAATTCATTGCCAATTGTCGGGAAAAACCCATCTGGTTCACTAATGTCCTTTAGGAAAGGAAACTGCCATCCTTACCTGGTCTGGCCTACATGTAACTCCAGACCCACAGCAATGTGGTTGACTCTTAAGTGCCCTCTGGGCAATTATGGATGGGCAATAAATGCTGCTTAGCCAGTGACGCCCTCATCCCATAAATGAATTAAAAAAAGGTAAGAAGCCAGATAAAGGCTTTTCAACAGAAGTTAGCATACTAATCTATTCCTCAGACCCAACTGTACCTGGGATCCAGTTATTTGATGTAAAATAAATACATATACAATTTACAGAATCATACAGGTCATTTTGAAAACTTTCTCTGAATAAATGGCATTTCCTATCTCTATTGTTTAAAAAAGAGATAGATTTATCAGTAATTTACTCTTAGTCATTTCTACCCAAGCAGAGAGATTGTTTGGACATTTAATTATACGATTCGGTCAAAATCCATCTATTAAAACAGTCACTTTTAATTCCCATTTAATTTCCTATTAGCCTATTAGTGCTGTATCACATTTGTTCGTAAGTAAATATTTCTCACATATGTGGCAACTAATCATGCCTACCTCTGAAGATAAGATACAGTTTTAGCTCAGAGATAGCAAGAACTGCAGATGCTGGAGTTGAGACAATAAGTGTGGAGCTGGAGGAACATAGCAGGCCAGGCCGTATCAGAGGAGCAGGAAGGTTGATGTTTCAGGTCGGGACCCTTCTTCAGAAATTGGGAGGGGGAAGGGAGCTGGGAAATAAATTGCCCATTTTGTGCCTTAAAATTGGTGATTGCAGTGGAAATTCAGAAAAGGATGAACTTTGACGACTCATTAAGCTCCCAAGGCTTGTCTAATGCAGCATTCAGATGGCTCTGTAAATGGGAGCACCATACAATAACTTGAAACAGGAAGCTGTTTATATGAAATCTTAGGTCCTTTCTAGGTGTGGGAACAACGTCCATGGAGGAAAGAGAGCGAGTTGGGTACTGCACAGGCTCTGCCCATTTTAATGAGGCAACAGGCAGCCTAATTCAATGTTCAACAAAGGCATGGATTTTTTGGAGAGTCCAGGAATGCTTCTTCTGGACCTTCAAAATTATTGCTGTCTGCTATTGGCTACTGGCACCTCTAATGTAATATTCAATTCACTCGTTACTTAATTTGGTGTCTTGGTGGTCTCAAGTGAAGTGTATAGGGAATGGAAAAATGATATAGAATCACCGCACTGTGCAAGCAGGCTATTCAGCCCATCAATCCATACCAACCCTCCAAAGACCATCCCGTCCAGCTTATAGAATCATAGAATCCCTCGTGTGGAAACAGGCCCTTCAGCCCAACAATTCCACATCGTCCCTCAGAGCATCCCACCCAAACCCATCCACCTATAACCCACCTAATCTACACATCCTGAACAGTATGGGTAATTTAGTATGACCAATCCAGCTAGCCTGCACATCTTTGGTCTGTGGGAGAAAACAAGAACGCCTGGAGGAAACCCACGCAGAGACGGGGAGAACATGCAAATTCCACACAGACAGTCACCAAAGGATGGAACTGAACGTGGGTCCTTGGCGCTGTGAGGCAGCAGTGCTAAACACAGAGCCACTGTGTTACCCTAAAATAGTCTGTCATTGAAAATATGAATGAACATGGCAATAGATAGCAAAATAAAACAAAGAACAGCAGATGCTGGAGATGTGAAACAAACACACTTTCGGAAGAAAAATCACTGGACTCAAAACGTTAATGCTGTTTTCACAGATGCTACCAGACCTGCTGAGTTTCTCCAGCAATTTCTGTTTGTGTTTGTACTACAATAGATAGGTTACGCCATTTTTATCATTTTCTTAAAGACATAATTAATATTTCAGTTATGACTTAAAATAATACAAATCTTTGCATTTTCAATCTTTATTTAACCACATAAAATCAGAAAACATTTCTTGTTTAAAAATAGTTTCACTAACTGTTCTTAGAAACTAGAAATTCACTAGGAATTTGAACTACATTTACCATAGAAAACAGACCACATTTTAAAGATCTCAATTAAATGCTTCCTTCTTTAAAATGAAGAACATTTGAAATCTCATAAATGTGAGAAGGTGAAATTGCTTCTGGATGGTCCACAACAGCAAATTGTCAACTTGTTTTTAAAGCTTGTTTCAACAACTGCATTAGAAAAACAATTCAACCAAATACAAGACGAACCAAATTTCAACAATGTTCATTTTGTCCTGCTCTCCAAGGAAAATTTCACTACCATCATTTTCTTGCTAAGAACTTAATACTTGGGTAAGGATTTCTATAAACTTCAAAGGAAAACAAAAACACTTTACAAATAATCTCTTATCCAACTTGATTTAAACAAAAACAGAAAACATTGAGGAGAAAAAAAGGTTTCAGACTAAATTTGCTCTAGTGTCTTTGCATGAAATGCAGCCAGGGTTGACTACATGTGGCATATTAAGCATTAAGAAGCAGATGATTAACTATATGGTATACTTGAAACAGGAATTCTATATAAAATGAATGAGTAGGAAGTGAATACATTGTCAAATCTATCACTGGATCACTAGCATATTTGAAGTCCACTGTAAAAACTAGTTTTCAACTTCTTAGATTCTTCCCAGTTTGGTCCAACTACTTATCAACTGGGATCAGAAAGCAGAACAGAAAACTAGTTGGCCTGGATTTTATAGCTACAACCATGACAGAATTTGGTGTTATTGCAACTGTGAAACTGACAACTTTTGGCATCTGTGCATGTGCAGTTAAATGTGGGAAATGAGACGTTGCTGTCTTCGGAAATCACTTGGTCTGATGAAAATGTTTTAAGATCACTGGTAAAAATGCTAAAAAGTTATGGTCTGTTAATATGGATTTTGAACAGTGAAGTCAGTACTAATTATTGCTACAGAACTTCTCTGGCCTGGAAAACTCTTATTTTGTTTGGGCAATATCAATTATGATAAAAATTCCAAAGTTTTGAATACAAATAATTTTTAAAAGTCAATAATAAATCAGCTTCTAGAGTATTGGGCTCATTCTTTATTTTGTCCCAATGATAGACTTATGAAAATAATGAATCATAATCCATGCATATACTTCCTGGTTTGTTGTCTTTGAGAATTCTTCATTGCAAATGGCTACTTAAGCTGCTTCGTAACCAGGCTGGACAGCAAAGATTCCCTTGACTTGGTGCTAGCATCAAATTAATGTCAGGACATTGTAATGAATGTTTATAATATATTATTGTTGTTTTGTGAACTTGAATTTTGAAGTCAAGGTGAATAATTTTTCGTTTTTCAAGTGTTGTGAAGTTCTGAAATGTTGTTTTACGCAAGGGTCAGAAACCCAGTCGAACAGAGAGCTGAAGACATTTTTCAGGAAATCAAGTGACATGAATTAATGACTGAACATGCTATCTGGTGAGATAATTGTTGTTTACTGTTGGCTTGAGCTGTTTTGGCCCACATTAAAAAGACAGATGGCAACAAGCCATAGGCAGGTCATGTTCAGAAAATAAAATATCTATTTTACCAAAGGTGCAGATTTTAATTTTGGAAGTTTTCAGGCCATCAGAACTGGAAAGAGGTCTTACTATGTGTTAGCTGCCTCAAAATAGTCAAAGACAGAGAGAGGTCAAAGAATTAGCCTCTCTGTGTGTCTTGGTGAGAAATTCACGTCTGGTGAATGTGCAGAAAGTCATCGAAAGGAAACTCTTATGGCATTGTCAGTTCAGTAAGAAAGGTTAAAGTGAGAATGGGAGTGATACTTCACTGGTGTTGAGTGTACACAAAGGGTATTGCCAGGAAAATATCAAATCTTTCCTTTTGCTGATTGTGAAAAAGATCTTTCCAAATTGTCATTATATATATGTAAGAGCTTGGTGTATTTTAAATTTCTTTTTTGTGTAGTAAAATAATATTCTTTTACTAAAAGTACATTACAGTCTTATGCAAATATGTTCATTGACTGACCACCACAGTAAACAAATTGCAAAATTAAAACTTAAGATCTACTGAGCCTGGTTTCACTCTTGTATTTGACTTCTGCAATATTAGTGGGATTATAATAATATGTGGAAATTTAGTTTACACAGATTGCTAGATGTTTGTGAGCAGCTCTCTTCAAGGTCTATGGTGCTTCACCACTAAGCCCAAAAATCTCACCTATTGTATTAAGTGATGTTTGGTTGTCGGCACAAATGAGAAACAGAAAGGAGGCAGGCCAAAGTGGTGCACTTCTCCCACCCTGAAAAACAGCCATAACTGTCCAAATCCATAAAGAAAACATCAGAACAATTCTTAATTTAAATCTTCATTTCTGAAGACAATAAATCAATGAAATAATTCTCTGGCCTGAGTGGTAAAGTCACTAAACAGCACTTATTGTTTCCATAATCACCAGCAAAGCTGAGCAGACTGCACCATTAGATAATAAGCTGTAATGATATGGAATTGCTCCTGCTTTGCAATCCGTTAATTGGGTATCACTTCCTCATACTCTTGAGTATCTTGATCAGACATGGTGGTATCTTGCTTGCAATTATAGTTGATCACTGCATATTCACAAGTGTTGTCATCCCTTAGATTTGCTTCATTTGAAATATTTGGGTTGTTGTGTTCAACTGTAACGTACAAGATTTCTTCATTTTTCTGAAATATGAAATAAATAAGGATGTATAATGTATGCAATATACAATAGCATTAAAGCTAGTATTAATACAATGGATAAAAGAACATTGAGATCAGAGCAGAAGACTGTACAGTAGTACAGTCTACTCTGCTATTCAATATGATTATGGCAAATTTTTGACTTCAACTCTACTTACCTGCTCGCTCCCCACTTCCCTCAGTTTCCAGAAAGACCAAAAATTTGTCTGACGATGGAATATCCACAACCCTCTAAGGCAGGGAATTCAAAAAATGTATACCTCCTTAAGATTGAAGAAATTTTTCTCAACTCAGTCCTCAATGATTGACACCTAGTCCCAAGACTTAGGCCTGTATTTTAGATTTCCCCTCTGAGGGAAGCAATTTCTCACTGTCTAATCTGTTTAGCCACTTCAAAGCTTATACTTTTTCAATGATATCATCTAGAATTCCTCTAAATTGCAGACAGTATAGGCCCAGTTCACTCAGTCTCTTATAACATGGCTATGTATCTTTTTAAAAGAAATTTGAAGTTCCACTTACTTTCTGAAAGAATAAATCCACAAGATTCCACAGTTTAAAACAAAATGTTTTTTACTATGCAAACGTCATGACTACATAGCAGGCATATCCTCAGAATTGTCTGTATACTAAAAATTTCCATAAGCACATATAAGCTCCCTCTTAGTTTCAGTGTTTTGATTTAAAAGGAATCAGTAACAACTTCATGTTTGAAACAAGATAAACTGTGAATGTACTATTCAATGATTACTAAAAGTTATGTAAGTAAAAAGTAATAAAGTTATTAGCAAAATACAGATAGTGAATTAAAGTAAGGATAGAAATTATGTATGATGATAGAAAAAAGATCAGTCTCTACTCTCATTGCAAGCTTGGCTTGTTTGAACATTCCCTTTCTGTTATGAAGGGTTCTAAACTTGATGTCAAATCCAGCAGCTGCACGGCTTCTGTAGTTAAACAGTTGGATGTTGCTCCCGCAGGTGGCCTGTGCAGAATTGGTCCTAGAAATGAGTGAAGGTGACTTTGTTTCACTTTGCAGCACTGCAGGCTGTGGCTCTTCTTAGCCCCCTTCAGTCCAGCAGTCCTGGAGGCCTCCCTGGTCAGAAGCAGGTGCTCATTCAAGATGTCTCTATCATGGCGTGAATACGGTTCTCCTGAAAATGATTGTTTCCAGCCAGCTTTATCACAATGAAACAACCCCGCGCTCTGCCCCCGAACCCCTGCCTGCCGCATCTCCTTTTCAACACTACAGAAGCTTTCCTTTTCACTGCTCAACGGGCTGTGCTGGAATCTTTGAATTTCACAATGGCCTTTTGTGATTGTGGTTTTTTTAAGAGACAATCTGATTATCTGCTTTTGATTACAACCTATACTCTAAATTATAAGAAGCTGAAATAGATGCTATTTACTCAAAACCCTTGTGGATTAAACAACTCCCACTGGCACTCCCCTCTTTCCCTCCCCCATCACCCTCCACTCCCACATGTCTTTGACCCTCTCCCCTGTCCTTCCCTTGCTGACCCCCACCCCACCTCAACTCTGACAGGTTTGGAGTCTCAGCAACTTTCAAGCACCAAAACGGGGTGATTTCTGAAGAAGGGTCCTGACCCGAAATATCAGCTTTCCGGCTCCTCTGATGCTGCCTGGCCTGTTGTGTTCCTCCAGCTCCTCACTGTGTTATCTCTGACTCCAGCATCTGCAGTTCTTGCTATCTCCTCACTATGAAAAAACATTTAGGTGCGGACATTTATCACTCTTTCCATAACAAGTTGGCAGAGAGTGCCACCTTTACCTTTTACACCTTACTGTATTGGCCTGACACTAGTGGCATAGTCTGGCTCCTCTAATATCGTGTCATTTATGAAATCAGTAACATCATGAAATAACTGTGCTCTGAACAAAAGGTTTATATGAAGCTGAATGGAAAGATTACTAAATGAAAATATTTTTGAAGTGATTATGATTTACTAATTTCTAAGATAAATATGCAACTTTTAATCATTTAAGAAGAAACACACGTACATAAAGGAACAAAGTACAGCACTGCATGTTAAATAACATATTGCTAACGTCACCAGCAATGAAAATAAAAGTAAAAATGAAATGATTCTCCTCTCACCTAACAGGACACCTACTTATGAAAATATTCCTGAAAACTATTTTGGAGGAATATATTGATGTTGCTTTTTTCAGTGTTGATATTTATATTTGCATCATTAATTATAAATGTTGGTTTTGTGCTCATTTCCCCCTCCATCGATTCAGTTAAATAACCACTGTCTTTATATAAAAACATTTGACAAAATGTAAAGCAAAATACTGTAGCTACTGCAAACCTGAAATCAAACCGAAAGATGTTGGAAACACCCAGCCGATCAGGCAGCATCTGTGAAAAGATAGAGGAGTTCCCGCTCACAACATTTGACCAGGCTTTATCCGTTGACCTTTATCCCTTTTCAGATGCTGCCTGACCTGCTGAGTCTTCCAATATTTCCTGGTTGAATTTGGGAGAAAAAAAACATGCTTTGTTATGGAAGGAATTTTATCACAATTAAACAACATTTAGGGAACACAATGGTATGTTCTGATAGAATCTGCTTTATTGAATCATACAATCATCGGCAAGTTAAAGGATTCATCCAGCAGTTTCACAAAGACAAAGCTGCTTTAATTGCTGAGATTGCATAAAGGAGGGAAGTGCAAAAGAATTACCCATATTGTCAATTTCATTTGATTAAAACTTTAGATGTATGATAAAGCACACAAAAATATATGGATACTTACTTTTGATTCGGTATCCTGCTGTTCACCTAGAATTGATAATATATTGTCTTAGATCTTAAAGTTTCAGTCCTTTTATATTAAAAAAAAGACACAAAAATTCTATATTGACAAAATCAAAATCAGGGTGATAAAACATAAAGCCAATGTATGCAAGTCACAATATTTATTACACAACTTCTATTTAAGTAAAATGTTTATAAACAGAAGAAATACACCATATTATACTGAATTCATTTTAAAAAATATTTTAAACAGATTATGCTGAGAAATAAGCATCAAATTCAAGACGGCAGGTGTAATATTGGAAAACTCTGATTTCTGAGCACAAGGGTCATATTCACAACCTGCCTCAGCTGTTTAAATCAAAATGAATATCTGGAGATCTTAGTATACCCACCTCATTGAAATTATTACAGCACTGATTCCTACATTGGGTCTCTTCCAATGATTGGCTGCAACTCCTGAGCTCATCAGGGGAATAGGGAACTTTGCTAGCTAACCAGGTTGTCTCAGCTACCTACTTTTTTTAGACAGGAGTCCCTCTTAAATTTAATAAAATGAATTATAAAAGCACAGGTTTGACATAACCTGCCTGAACTTAAGTATTTGATCAAATCCCACACTATTATGCTTTGCAAGGGCTAAAGACGAGTACAAAATAAAACAAAGCCTACTAAAAGTTGTTTTTTCTAAAGGAAACACACATTTGTGAGGCAGGTCACACTGTCAAACTGTTGAATGCTTAGTCAGATACCCAGAGTTGGAAAAGCAGAGCTAAACACAAATGATCACTACACTTCAAAGCTGTGTTAACCTCAATGAAACTTTATGTTCATTAATATGCTAAGAAATAAACCAGATGCAAAGAACCTAGAGATACAAGCCTATTTCGAAAGAGTTGTACAACCCAATCACAAGGAAAAAGAAGGTTCATTCAGTTAACTCAAATTACACGTGAAGCATATTTGAAAGCTGCAAGGAACTGACACAATCTGACACTGTGATGTCAGAGATTTATTTTGGAAACACAAAATAGCTCAGCTACATGCTTTTCTCTGTTTCTCATATCAACTAAAATAGCTTTATTAATCCACTGTTGAGCAAAAAACTTCAAGAAGTCAGCAATTTAAGTGATTCTGATTGTTTAAATATCCTGGGGCTTCTGGAATGTGTAACATCCCAGAATGTGCGACAATTCTGGATTCTCTTAAGGTTAACATGTAGGTTCAGTTGGCAATTAAGAAGGCAAATGCAATGTTAGCATTCATCTCAAGAAGACTAGAATACAACAGCAGATATGTACTGCTGATACTATATAAAGACATATGAGGCCAATTGAGGTCATACCACAATTGGAATTTATGTGAGCAGTTTTGTGTCATGTAACTAAGGAATGACGTGCTGGCATTAGAGGGAGTCTAAAGGAGGTTCGTCTGAATGATCCCAGGAATGAAGGATTTGCCATATGAGGAGTGGGTGAGGACTTTGGGTCTGTACTCATTGGAATTTAGAAGGATGGTGGGGGACTTACAGAATACTGAGAGACCTGGATAGAGTGGATGTGGTGAAGATGTTTCCCTGAGTAGGAGAGACTAGGACATGAGGACCTCAGACAGAAGGGATGCCCCTTTCAAACAAAGATATGGAGAAATTTCTTCAGCCAGAGGGTGGAGAATTTGTAGAACCAATTGCCGCAGAGGGTTGTGGAAGCCAAGTCATTGAGCATATTTAAGAGAGAGATAGATAGGTTCTTGATTAGTAAGGGGATCAACAGTTACAGGGAGAAGGCAGGAAAATGGGATTAGGAAATGTATCAGCCATGATTGAATGGTGGAGCAGATCTGATGGGCCAAATGGCCTCTTTTATCATATGGTCTTATGGTCTCATAATAATTCTTCTCCCTATTTTTCAGTCATTTGCTGCTGGTTCTTCAAAACATCCTAATCCTCAGGCCTGCCACTAGTTTTCTCTGCTGTGTATGCTTTAGTTTTTGATTGGATACTCTCCTTCACCGCCTTCACAAACCACAAGTGATTCATCCCTTTCATCGAATAAAATTCTGCTGAGCATTGTGAAATATCTATTCAAATGTCTTTCATTACTCATGCACTGAATTTCCCTGAGTGTAGTTTCTCAAACCACTTTACACAACTCTTCCTTCATCCCCCTGTAATTGTCCTTATTTAACTTGAGCCCACTGGTCTAAGACCTGAATTGCTCTCCCTCAAACTGAATTTGAAACTCTACCATGTTGTGACTGCCAACCACCAGTGGATTCTTAACCACTAGATCTCTCATTAATCTTACCCTACAACACATTTCTAGATCTAGAATAGTCTGTTGTCAGGTCCTGTAATGTAGCTCTTTAAGAAGAAATCACTGATGCACTTTACAAATCTGTCTGCCGTGTTACCCCTGCACTTCTGATTTGTCCAGTCAACATGCAGATTAAAATCATCAATGGCAACCATCATGCCCTTCTTACATGCCCCATGAATCAGAACTCTTCTCCTTCACCAATCTTTGATCCACATATTTACCTGTCCAGTGTTATTTACCCTGTTGTAATTTTCATGTGTTTCAGTGTGTAACTCTGAAGCTATTAACTTCATAATGCTTTTTAATTTAGCCCTGAGCTAACCTCTGTCCGAGTCCTACCAATGTCATTTCTAAATATTTGGACTGTGACAACTAGATACCGCCCCTCTAAGTCCAAGTTCTTCTACAGCCCAGAAGAGATGTCCTAAAGCTCGACATCAGGAAGGCAACACGGTCTTCCGGACTCTCTGTCTTTGCTGCAGAGAACAAATCCATCCTCCTAACTAAGCAATCCCCTATTGGTTCTGTAGTTCAGTTTTCTCTCTCCACTGAATAGCACACTGTACCACAATTCGAGCATGCTCCCTGCAGTCTGTGCCCACAAATTCTGAAACCCATTATCTGCCTTAATTGCAGCCATACCCTATTATTCCTGACCAAGGATCAAATTTGATGTAATGAATCTAAGGGATGTGACTGTCTCCTGAAACACAGTGTCAAGATAACTCTCCCGCTCCCTATGTGGTGCAGTGTCTGCATCTTGGATTCCAACTCATCAACTCTAAGTCAACGTTCTTCAAGTAGTCAAAACATCCAGCAGTTCCCTCATACTATTGTGGCAACACATCACTTGCCTAGCCATTTCTAGTAAATTAATTAGTTTGGGTGTTAAATATTTGAAAAATTAATTTGTCAGCTGTAGTCTTCAGCTACAATAATGTATCCTGCTTTAAACCACTTGGTCAAGCAAAAAAGAGCATAAGATTATAATGTACAGGAGCAGAATTAGGCCGTTTAGCCAATCAAGTCTGTTCTGCCAAATAATCATGTCTGACATGTTTCTCAACCTCATTCTCACGTCTTTTCCACTCAAGCTTTGATCCCCTTACTAATTAACAACCTATCTATCTCCGTCTTAAATACACTCAGTGATGTGGCTCCACAGCTTTCTGTGGCAATGCATTCCACAGATTCACCACCCTCTGGCTAAAGAAATTCCTCCTCATCTCAGTTCTAAGCCACAGAAGAAATACCAAGCATTCACCTATTTTCCTAAACCTGATCAGCAAGTCAACCAATTCAACCCAGGAATCAGCCTATGAATCTCTTTAAACAGTCTTCAATGCTACTATATTCTTTATTAGAAACTGTACACAGCACTCCAGGTGTGACCTCACCAACACCTGTCAAGTTAAAACAAGGTTTTCATATTTTTAAACCTCAAACCCCATGCGATGATAGCCAAAATTTAATTTGCCTTCTTAATTACTCATTGAACTGAGTGCTAACGTTTTGTGTTTCATGCGCAAGAATGCCCAGATCCCTGCACTTTTTGATTCATCCTACCAAGGTGCATGACCTCACAATTTCCTACAATAAACTCAATCTGCCAAGTTTCTGCTCACTCACTCAATCTCTTTACATCCCCATGCCATAATATCGTATCCTCATCACCACATGCCCACCCATCTAGTTTTGTTTTGTCAGCAAAATTGGATGCATTACACTTCATCCCCTCTACCAACTGATTTATATACATACTAAATACCTGAGACCTTATGACTGACCATTGTAACATTCCACTGCTTACTGCTTTCAAACTTGAAAAAGACCCATTAATTAATTCTCTCTGCCTTTTGTGTGTTCACTAATCCTCAAACCATGCTAACACATGACTCCCAAGACTGTGAGTTCTGATCATGTGCAATTACATTTTGTGTGACAACTTATCTAACACAATCTGGAAATCTAAAACACAACATCTACACTCTATGAATTTCACTACATTCTCAAAGTGCCCTCACAAATTTGCAACAGAAGATTTTCCTTTCACAAAACCATGTTGACTTTGTTTCATTGTGCAAAGATTTTCTAAATGTTCTGCTATTTCTTCCTTTGTAATGGGCTCTAGCATTTTCCCAATGAAGATGTTAGGCTAACTGCCTGTCATTTCCTGCTTTCTGTCTCTATCCCTCTTGAACAGGGGCCTCTTTAGCCTCTTTGCAATCCACTGGAACTCTCCCAAAATCCACAGAGTTCTGGAATATTTTGAGCAATGCCTCCACTATATCTGTAGCCACTTTCTTTAAAACTCTTGGTTCTGTTAACCTGTCTGTTTTCAGTCCCATTAGTTTGTCAAGTATATTGTCCCTCATTATAGAGACTGTTAAAAAGACATTTTATCTTGTTAGCACCTTGTTTATCTGATATCCTTCGAATGTCATGTCCTCTATCATGAAGAAATATGCAAAATATTGATTTGAATTATCTGCCATTTACTGGTTACCTACATTTAAATCAACATTACATCTGCACAGAGTCCCACACACATCTTAGCTGCTCTCTTTCTTTATATATACCTCTATAAGTTCTCAATGTTTGTTTTCATATTCCTTGCCAATTTACTTTCATAAGCAATTTTCTCTCATTTAGTTAACATCTTAGTCATTTGCTGCTGGATCCAAAAAATTTCCAACCCTCTGCCACATGACTAAGATGGCCACATTGTATCCCAAAGTTTGTGATTGGAAATTTTGTTTGATTGCCTCTACTAATCACGGGTGTTTCCTCCTTCCCATTGTGTCCTTCTATTTGACTAATAAATTTTTGCTGAGCGCTACTAATCTATTTCAGCCCACTTTAGGCAACTCTTTCTTCGAACCTTCTGGCCTTCTTTAAGTTGAGGACACCAGTTTACTCTCCCTCAAATTTTATTTAAAATTCTACCTTTTTGTTACCTAGAGGATCCTTAATATCAGATCTCTTATTAATCCTACCTCATTACACATTGCTACATTTAAAATAGCCTGTTCCAGGGTAGGTTCAGCAATATACTGCTCTCAGAAACAAACATTCTCTGATGCACTCTATAAATTTTTCTGACATGTCACTCTTGCCCATCTGATTTATGCCTTTCTCTTTTGTTTGATTTATATATATATTAGTGCTCTTACTTAGAACTGAATGTCTTTTCTCCCCATCACCACATCACCCATGGTATTTTTCATCTCTTAGCCACCACCAGTAAATCATCCATGATTTCCAATTCATTAACTTACATGCAAAGCCTGGTAAGAGTAAAGCAGATCATCAAAGGTGTGGGAGAGGAAGGGAGAGAGGGAGTGGACCCTTCTGATTCGTTCAATTAATATGCTGATCAGTGGAGATGTCTGGTGTTCTTTTTACATGCCTCCATATCTCCTGATTTATGTTTTGTCCTACAATGAGGCAACTCTTTGGGGCCTAAAGACAACTCCATCTATGACTTATTTTCACCCAAACTGATGCCATATCATGATCTATTAGATTATCTGACTACTCACCATAGAGTCATACAGCATGGAAACATCCAACCAGTCCATGCCAAACATAATCCCAAACTCAACTAGTCCCACCTGCCTGCTCCTGGTCCATATCCCTCCAAACCTTTCCTTTTCACGTACCTACATGTACCTACCCAAATGTCTTTGAAACGTTGTACTTGTACCCACATCCATCACTTCCTCATGAAGTTCATTCCACATGTGAACCACCCTCTGTGTAAAAAATTGCCTCCCATGTTTTTATTAAATCTCTCTCCTCTCACTTTAAAAATGTGTCCTGGTCTTGAAAACCCCAGCCTAGGGAAAAGACAATTACCAATGACTGTATCCATACCTCACATTATTTTATAAACTTCTATCAGGTTGACTCTCAATCCCCTATCCTCTAGTTTAAAAAAAGTCCCAGCCTATCCAGACTTTCGGTATAACTCAAACCTTCCATACCCAGCAATATTATGTTAAATCTCTTCTGAACCATCTCCAGCATAATAATATGCTTCCTACAACTTGATGACCCAAATTGGACATAGTGTTGCAGAAGAGGCCTCACCAATGTTCAGTATAATACATTTCTACCCCAATAAATCTACCCCAATTGTATGAATCACTTTGATCATGTAACTGTTCTTTTCTTTCTTTAATATTACAGAACGTAACCTTGTCTTGGAAGAATCCAGAATGCTGAGTTTGTCTCTTGGTCATGGAATCGAACATCAAAGGAGCAATGGCGCCCTGACTGAATCACTACATTGTGGATTTAATGCACAATGAGAAATTCAGCCAAGACCCAGATTTGCTCATATCAACAGGCATCTTCAAACTGATTTTAAATTACAATGGAGCTGTGAGCGAAAAGGAACCTCTTAGTGTGTAACCATAAAAATATCGCCTTCATTCCAGCACTGGAGACTGATAAGTGTATTAGGGATAACCAACACGGGCAAATATGAGTTTTCAAGCCTGACTTTGTCATAAGAGAGAGTACATCTAGCAATAGTTTCAAACAGAACAGTGATATAATTTTTTAAAAATCATATGGTAAAAAATATGTATTTCCTTAACATGGCATACAGCTATAGCAAGAAAGAGGCAGAAAGGAAGACTGCAAAAAACATTTGTTCCTGCATAGGTAGAGGCAGTTTCAAAGGGGCTTTATATATGACCCTCAAAGGTCAAATTGCTGCCTTAGTCCCATTGTTCACTTTCAGGTATATTCAGGACCCTCTGTCTCCCACAGTAAAGCCAATTTTGCATCCAATTGGCAAGTTCATTCTGAATATCATACGATCTAACTTTACTAATAGTCTACCGTGCAGAACTTTGTCAAAGATTTTACTAAAGTCCAAGTAATAAATGTCTACTGCTCTGCCTTCATGAATCTTTTTGGTTACTTTAATTAAAAATACTCAATCAAGTTTGTGAGACACAATTTTCCTTGCATTAAAACAATGCTGACTATCCCTAATCAATCTTTGCCTCTCCAAATGCATGTAAATCCTACCTTTCCGAATCACCTTCAACAACTTACCCATCACCAATGTCAGACGTACAGATTTATAATTTCCAGGCTTCTCCTTACAGCTTTTCTTAAACAAATTAATTGGAGCAGATTTCTGCTCATCCAAAAGTGTATGTTAGCAAAACTGGATGACAAATCAGGGACGGTGGAGAGCTCAAAAGTGGTAGTTTTGATGTGGAGCTGGGTGCACATGTTAAACCTGATGTTCTGTCTAATGAAAAAAGATTGAAAAGGTTGAATTGATACTCACTGAAGTGTAGAGGAGTGAGAGATGAACCATATAAGATTCTGAGAGTCTATATGTTGTGAGGATGTTTCCCCTTTTAGAAACTAGGATCGGTTTCAGAATAAGGTTTCCCTCATTTAAAAGAGAGAACAGGAGGAAATTTTCCATGAACATCATTAATTTTTACCATTCTCTACCCAGGGAACAGAGCAGACTGGGTCATTTAATGCATTCAAAGCCAAGTTAGACATGTTTTTGATCTATAAGACAGCCAGGATATGAGGGCAGGCAAGAAAGTGGAGTTGATATCAAAAATCATACTAGGCAAGACCTTATATAATCATGAAGCAGCATCAAGGGGCCTAATGTCCTACTCCAGCTCTGGCTACAACTGGATACATAAAAGGAATGAAACCATGCATGGGCAATCCAATTTGATAGATGATGGAGGAAAGGCATAAAAGGAGGAGAGTGTGGTCAAAAATATCAGAAGCTGCAGATGAAATAAGAAAAATGACCATAGTCAAAGCCAAATAGAATGTCATTTGTGATTTTGGTATGATCGATTTCTGCGTTGTGGTGGGATACAAAAATGATAGGAATTTTCAATGTATTTTGAAATGGAAAATTGCAATCCACTAGCAATAAAAACATATATAGGTTTTTGTCACTAAAGCCCTGATAGCAATTCTGAAACATTACTGCAAGCAAAGCAGTGTCAGCATGAGTTATAATGGAGAAATATTCGTAAATGCAATATTGAGAATAGACTTTCTGGGAAAGTTTTAATTTCTGAATTTACATCTCACAAACTAATTTTACTGATTTTTTTTTTTAAATTGTCACTTCCCAACAACCAAATGTGCTTTTAGACCATTTTTACCACCAAATGCTATCTATTTTGAAATCAATAAAATTAGCATATACCAAACCTGGGACTTTCCTAGGCTGTACAAATTAGTATCTTTTGGGTTTATCCACTGAGCTATGAAGAAAATCTTATATGATTTAACATGACAATGTTTATTTTAATATAAATCCATCTTTATTGAAAAACCCATGGCACTGGCATTCTTATACTGTAACTCAATTGCCATATGAAATGAAACTCACCCAATTCTTGGACATTTTCCTTCCTGAAAGAAAAGGAAAAAGTAGAATTAATATACTCTTGGTTTCAAAATATTACCTTCCATGTCAATCTTCTTATTCAAGGCCCTACCTAAACTTAAAACAACAGGTACTGATTCTGAAAGACTGATAAAGAAACGAAATGGTTCACTATACAGTTTCAGACCAAATCACATATATCAATGTCACTAATTATATTCAATTACATACATTTAATACAAATCAAGATGAACCAATATACCCTCTGGAAGGGTATCGGATCTAAAGAAGCATTAATGCTGGAGGGGGAATGATTACAAGTACAGTTGAAGAGATTATGTTAAAAGGACTTGTAATGATGGGAAAAGACGGAACAAAATGGAGAGGGCGGCAAACTGTAGAAGTTTCTTAGCTGAAAGTTTTGCCACTGATGATGGGTTGGTGACAGGGGTGATGCAACATGAGCAGGATGGGAAGTGAACCAATATGAATAGAAAAGTAACAGGAGGTTATAAAGGCCAGATTGAGCAAAATATTGGAAGCACTTGAAGCCTAAATGTGAAGTTTCAAATTGGTGTGCTGATGTTCAGGGATGCAATGAGGGTCTGCTAGGATAGGAGGGATAAGTGTGTGGAATATTATACAAGATAGGAGACAGGTAGCAGAAATTTGATTAAGTTGGAGTTTATATTTAGTGTGAAGGATGTTAAAAAGGTATTAAATGCATGAATGAAGATTTCAATGAATACAGCGATGAACTAGGAGCATGGGTGTTTATCTTCGTAATGGAAGTAGGCAGGTGATAAACTGCATGTTGGGTTAAGCATTGAGCATGTTAGTGAGGTCCTTCTATGTCAAGCAAACCGAGCTGCATTAGGCATCAGGGAGGAGAATGGCATTAGGTGTTAGGACCTATTGTTCCTGGTAGAAACAGATTAGATTTCATTTTGCAAATATTGAATTACAATGAATTCTGGCCTATGCACAACTTAATTTTAAAAAAGCACAGCTTCACTGGCTCAATGAATAGCGCTGTTACCTCACAGCACCAGGGACCCGGGTTCAATTCCAGCCTTGGGCAACTGTCTGAGTGGAGTTTGCACATTCTCCCCGTGTCTGCGTGGGTTTCCTCCGGGTGCTCCAGGTTTCTTCCACTGTTCAAAGGCGTGCAGGTTAAGTGGACTGGCCATGGGAAATGCAGGATTACAGGGATGGGGTGGGGATGTTGGGTCTGAAGTGGGATGCTCTTCGGAGGGTCAGTGTGGGCCCAATGCAAAAGCAGCATTCCAAATGAAACCCTTCAGCACAGAGCTGGTAAGAGGAACAGGAAGGACTTTTGAGGTGCTTTGGTAGTAACTCTACCTCTGAGCCAGAAAACCTAGGTTCAAGTCAACTCAGCAAGTCAGGCAATAGAGAGAACCACGGGAAATGTCTCAGTTGGATGACACTTGATCAGAAACAAAAACAGAAATTGCTGGATAAACTCAGCAGGTTAATCAGCATGTGTGGAGAGAAAGTAGAGTTAACATTTCAGGTCCAGTGACCCTTCTGTAGCTCAGAAAAGGTTGATATATATGCTACAGGAGGGATGGGGGAAGAAGTGAACAATAGGTGGAGATGGAGCCCAGAGAGAGAGAAAAACATTTGGGCAGACAAAGGAATGGGTAAAGGTCAGCCTGGGAGAATGGGTTTACCAGTCTTGATGAAACACCAACATCATCCTGAAATGTTAACTCTGATTCTCTCTACACAGACACTGTCTGATCACTGTCAGTAGTTCCAGCATTTTCTGTTTTTATTTTAGATTTCCAGCATCTCTAGAATTTTGCCTTTGTATTTCAATCAAGTTTTGCTTCAACATTTTCTGTTACTTTTCCTTCTTGACAAGCTCCCTTGCTGGAATCCTTTCCATTGCACCCAGGGTGGATATTCCAAAACCTCCGTTTGTCCTGAAAGGCTGGACATTCTTGAAGGTCTGAATGGATAAATGGATCTTGGTTGCTGAATGAACAAATTGAGTTGAGCATCTCCACCAGGTCAGCGGAGGAAGGAAATAGATCTTTGATTGCTTTTGCCTCAATAAAGCATGTAATTGGAGAGTAGGATTGGTGAATATTTCCAGTCTTTAAGGTAACATTAAGACCTTCAGTGTGTGTTCAGGTCTGTGATCCTTTGTTTGTCTTTTCCTTACATATAGCTTGTTAGATACAAGATTGATATGGGTGTGTAAACATAAAAAGGAAAAACAATATTTATAATGCAGTGTTCAAACTGGGGATCCTTCAAGTGTAAACAGTAGGGATACTAGACTGATATTATTTAATAACTTTGATAAAATACTATAGAGATGGCAGGTTGTAGAACTATAGAAACATAGAATATAGGAGAGGAGTAGATCATTCAGCCATCAGAGCCTGTTCTGCCATTCAATATGATCATGGCTAACCATCCTAGTCAGTACCCTGTTCCTGCTTTCTCTCCATATGCTTTTGTCTCTTTAACCCTATATTTCTTTGAAGTCTTTAATCTTTTGGACTCAACAGTTTCCTGTGGCAGGTGTGTTGTGTTGTGTTGCAGCTGCAGCATGTGAGAGCTGTTGAACATCAAGTCAATCCACAATGAACACATCTGTAGCACTTCTGATCTGAATTGTGCAGTAGGCTGCCTGAATTTGTGAACTTAGAGACTTGGTGAGAAGCTGGACAATGATAAATGTAAAAATAGTTGCATGTATACAGGGAAAACAGCTTGATTGAGGTGTGGAGGGGGTGTTGTCGAAGACATGGGTTCTGAAAGCGTTAAGGTTGAAGCCGCATTAACTTCCACCCGATCTGATGATGTCACTTAGGGTAGAGAAGAAGCAGTCCAGCACAAAGTACCAATGAAAGCAGACATATCAACTCATGCTCCTGATAGACATAAAGACAACAATCGGTCAATGTAATATGCATCTTTTGCTATAATGCAATAAACTATATCTGAATTGTGTGAGGCAAGTGCCTTTTCTCAATAAGACTCAATCGACTCAATTAGATAAGTCCTTAGACTCAAAACAGAAAGCAGGTAGGGGAGCTCTTGTGGTACAATGATAGTGTCCCTGTCTCTGAGTTAGGACACCCCAGTTCAAGTCCCACTTGCTCCAGAGGTGTGTGACAGAATCTCTCAACAAATTGATTTTTAAAAAATCTAGAAAGGGGGCCTGGTAGCAGTACTCCATTCCAAACACAAGCTGACAGTGGTTAATACTAGCACATATAACAAGCTAACAACTTTCCGAATAATTACATCAATATTTATAAACATTGCTCAATGCCAGTCCTGACTTAGCATTCTTCATTAGTGAAAGTCAAGGTCATAAAATGAAGCTGTTTACTGCAGGACGTCCACAAAATTCTCTCATTTCTCAACAATAACTATGAGCTACGTTAAATAGCCTCTTATGTCAGACTCTGCAATATTTTTCACTGGTTGAAAATAATTTTCATAGAAATTTGCAGTTAAGAATTGCAGACGCTCTTCAACCCAGGGAGTAGCATCGACAGATGAACAGAATCACTGGTACAAGACTTTCAGATATGTTTAGCAAAACAGGCAAATGTTGTAAATTTGCATTGTAATCAGTAAATATTTTGATGGAGCAATACCTCTTTTTAAGGACAAGTTAGAACTTCAAAGAAATATACAGAAACCTGGAACCAAATTGTCTATTATACTGCTCATTCAGTTGGTATCAAGTGTTTTGAAAGTCATGAGAGAGAAAGACACAAACTGACATCTGACAACATCAGAGTTTTTGAAACACAGAGAAATGAGGAGGCAAGTTTTGTTTTATGTTCTTGTTCAGACTTAATCTGCCTTTAAATTTCGGAGCAATAGTTTGTAAGAAGTCAGTGACTTAAAAAATGTAAAAATTTTCCTTGTCCAATGGTCATAAAGTGCAGAAAAACTCAGTACCTGGAGAGGGAAGCAGAGCTAATGTTTCAACATAAAAATGATTCCTTAAAAATTTTAGTGTTTAATTTGAGTTTTGACTGTTTTATCATTATTTCTGGTCATTCTCATGTCTGAATAATAGATACGCTTTTCTCAACTTTTAATGACACACTTCTGGGCCTGGTAGGGCATGACTCCTATGTCACAAGACACCTTATCTGAATAGCAGAGTAACCTGTCAGAGATAGCTTTACACTTAGAGCATATTCCAATGCTGAATGAAAGTAAGTGACACATGTCTAATAGTCACAGAAGAAAGGACACACCCATTAACATCCATCTAATAAACACTTCAAGAAACAAGTGATTGACTGGGTGCCAATGGCAGATCAGGCAGACAGGGTCTGATCTCGAGGCCTCCACTGGTGATGCTAGAGGTAATGGACATGCTGCCTTAGCAACCCTGACCCCACCTTCCACATCTACCCATCACCAGAAACTGCAGGCCTCTGTCTTCAAAGTGATGGGGCCAGCAAATTCCCCTTCTCTGCAAAGGTCGGAGGCAAATGTCACTATCCATGTCACTATTCAACCAGTGCCGTTCTGGACTGTCAACTGCAGAACGGCCTTTTAAAGTTCCAGTGATGACGGTCTATTCAGGAATATGCCAGAAGTGGTGAGTTCTTCTGGCTACGGCGAGTGGTAGAATCAGACAAGAGGGGCGTGATAGGGGCATCGTAGTTCATTCATGAGGCGAGTTTGGGATGATAATGCAAGAAATCTCAAGGAATCTCCATGAAACTTGATGAAAGTGACACAGCCAAAATATGGCAAGAGTTAGTCCAGGAATTTAAGTGGAAATTTAAGGAACCATACAGGTTGCCTGGTCATGTCAGGTGATCATATCAGTCATTTTAGGTCAGTAACATCCTTTTTAAAACCACCTTTAACCCATGGAAGTCTCAGCTATTAAAGTGAAATGATGAAAGCTGAATATTGAGAATCCAGTTTCACCATAATTTTTGACAATATAAAAAGAACAAGACCTACCTTTAACCTTATCAATGTTTTTAAAATTATTTTATGGGATGTA